GATTATGTAGCCTTTTAAAGAATTACATGCATATTCATTTCATTAATACATCTAATATAATCTCAACAAATGATTGCATATGCAATAGAGGTGATTGTTAATTTAACATTAAATAAATTTGAACTTCAATTCATAATACGGAATTTAATAGATCCAGATAGGATTAAAGGTAAAGATAAAGAATTAAAAGTAAACTAAACGATTAATGATGAAAATGTTGCTATTCAACATCGTTACATGTCTGATTTTAAATTTATGACATTCTAAAAGTGATCAGTGAAGAAGGAAGCAATGGAATAAACATCATATCATCAACAACATTATTACTGTTACTACTGCTACTCTTATTTATCGCTGATAAATCTCTGATGAATAAATGATAAGAAAATGATAATGAAATATAAATATCGAAGAAATACACAAATTGGTATACTTATAGATCTAATGCATTGATAGCTTCAGAATTTGAATCTATTTGAGGATATAATCTGACGAAAAATTTTTGCCGTTTCCAATTTACCGTTATTTTTTGAATATCAGATGATGGAACTTAAAAATTAACATGAAATTATAATTAAATTCTAATTTTATAAATTTGGCTTAATTATGATTAGACAAATTTAGAGGCAAAATTGATATAAATGAAGAAAAAATAGATTATATGTTAATGACAGCTTTATATCATTTATCTGATTATTTATCTGACAATTCAAAGATATTTTAGATACATATTCAGGAAATTGTTAAGATTCAGATATACTGTAACATAGATAACCTTTAGGGGTCAGTTAAAAATTATGACCAAATGGTTATAAAGATTCGCCTTTTTAGTGTTCCTAATTGTAACATATCTTTTAAAGACAATTAGCACCTTTTTTGCCTTACCTTAGACAAACATATAATTAATTACATCAAAGTATTGACTTTAAATATTTTTATAAAAATTAACCTTCAAGTTTAATCTCAAATGATTTCTAAAAATAGTTCACATCCTAAAATAATTAACTTTTGTTAGATTATAAAATTTAATTTAATAATGCAATAAAATGAATGAATGAAAGATCGTTATCATCATCGGCTGGTAATAAACAAATATGTAAGTAAATGTTCATGTGCTACATTTTCATCATTGTCGTATTTATTACATTTTACAAAAGTTATCCATCAAAAAAAAAAACGACGAAGAAATATTGATGTATATTTTAATTATTTAATTATGACTTTTTTTTGGATATATAAATTTAACGAAATGGATAAGTTGAAAAGGCTGGACGAGATGGAGAAGAAGAAAATGAGAGAGGTGGAAAAGAGTTGAAGAAAGGTTGAAAAAAAGAGAGAATGGAAAATTGAAAAGCAATTTAGGATAAAAATTAGTTTCATTTTAGTTGAGAGAATTGAAATAGTTTTTAATAGCCTAAAACTATTTCATAAATACTTTAACATTAAGCAAATATAATTAATTATATTTGTGAAATAGAAAATGAAGGAAAAATTTATGAATAAAAAATATAAATATTTCTTTCGTTGAAAAAAGGGTAAGAAACGATTTTTCCTTTTTCGTATTTTATTGAAAAATGAAATAATTTCTAACTTTCTCTCTCTCTCTCTCTCTCTCTCTCTGTTTATATGTAAATTATATGTAAAATAATATAAATTTAATTTCTCTTGTTTCTTTATCTTCTTTTTCGTTTTCTAATTTATCTTTGTTTTATTTTAAATTATTTAAATTTGCAGAAAAAAAAATAAATCTCTTCACTAATATTACTGTAAGTTAACTTATCAACTGATCTAATCAATTTTATATCTTTCATTACATTTTTAAAAAAATAGAAAAAAGAAATATTTGATAATAATAGGTACTTCTTTCTTCTCTCAAATATTTTTTGATAATTTCTCGGGAAAGTTTAATTTCCCGAGGAAATCAAGAAATATTAAAATTAAAAAAAAAAGCTTTTAATTGAGGTATATGTTATTGATTACATCGAAAAACTAACAATTATCATATCACTATATTTTTAGCGAAAATTTTCTGCAACTCATTTACTATCAAACATTTGATAATTAGTAATTATCAGTAGTGAAAAAAAGTTAGTATTAGTTTAGCTTTGATTAATGATGATAACATTATGACATTGAAGCTAACACTTCAATCAAGTTTGTTATTATGAATCATTGAATGACGAAACATTCATCTATTTTTAATTCAAATTGCTAACTTTCTGTAAACATTAAAAAATTAAAAATAAAAACAAAAACTATTTATCATCCATTAATTTTCATTAATTGAAAGCATTTTAATATTTAAGCAATTTTATTTTATAAAATAATGGCAGCTATTGTTTTATATAAAAGAAGATAAAATTTATAAATTTAATTTTTTATTTAATTACCTTAATTACATTTCAAAAATTTTATTAAATTTCAATTTATTATTATAAATTGTTAAATTCATACACACACACACACACACATACACATATACATACATTTCCATTTATACAAATGTGCTCATTTAGCGTCTTTTATACTCTTTTAATGTAAATGTATAAAGTTAGTTTAGCTGTCAATAGTTTCGTTCAATCCTTTCAAACTACCAAATGTCATTTCATAATTGCAATTGACAGCTTGCAAAATTTTTCAATCTTTCTTATTAAATTTTCATAAGAAATTTAGAAAGAAAGAAAAAAAAGGGGAATTTCTTTTCTGTTTGAACTTTATATACTTTAAAAGAATTTATTTATTTGTTTATTTATTTTTGTTGTTGTTATTTTTTAATTTTTAAATTTAATATTTGCGAAAAAAAAAATTTAATAAATTCTATTATTTTTTTCTTCTATCAAATAAATCTGTCAGTAATCATTGATTTTATAGATTAATTGTAAGTTAAGGCCGATTTTATCGATTGATTGTACATTGATTTTATCGATTGATTATAAGTTAAGGCCGATTTTATCGATTGATTATAAGTTAAGGCCGATTTTATCGATTGATTATAAGTTAAAGCCGATTTCATCGATTGATTGTACATTGATTTTATTGATTGATTGTAAGTTAAGGCCTAATTATTCATTAAATTAAATCCTTAATTTAATTGCTTACTCATTCTTTTCTATTAGCTTTTTTCAAAAATTTTTCGTAACATTTCTTTTTGAAAATGCTAAATATGATGGTTGTAGTAAATTTAGTGACAGAATATTGATTTTATTAAAATAAATTATTTAATTGCAATAAAACTGAAATTGAAATTCATCAATTAATTTTTTTTTTATTAAAAGGATAAATAATCAAAGAAGTGACACATAGAAACCGATCCGAATGAATAATATACGCTTACATCAAAATATTTACTACTTCTCATTTCCCGCACTTTGAAAATTATTTTTCTTCCATTTCTCTATCGCTATCTTATTTTCAATTTTTTAAATCAATATTATTTATGTATGTATGAGTGTGAAAATATATTTTAGTATTATTAACGCTTACTTATAATTGTAATGTTTAATTTGACCCATTGACCAATGGTGTAATTATTGTTTGGATACAATTTAACATAGGTTTGTTTACAGGTGAAAAATATTTACAGGTGAGAGATTTTAATTAACTGTTACATATTAATACTTTTTTTACACTATCTCAGTTTTAAAATTAGAAAATAGTTAGTCTATCTATGGTGGCGCAGAAATTTGATAGCAATTAGAATAATAAAAACTTTTTTGAAAGTATAAAGTTGGTTATATTATTAGATGAAGAAAGATTTTCTTCACTCTTTTGTTTTGCTTACTAAAGCTAATTTCATTGCAAAATTATAAATTAATTTTTACAAAAACTTTATTTCAGTAATTTTATTTTATTTAAATTTACATTTCATTGTTCTTTCAAATACTCAAATTATTTCATTTCAAAATCTTAGCTTATCTCTTTTAACTAAAATTAAAATTTGAAACCCAAATTAAGAGCTTTTATTCATTAAATCATTCACTGAAATTTAATAATTAAAAAATTAAATTTACAGGAAGGTTTTTTCTGGATAATTATCTTTTCTAATTGATTGATATATTTGAGTGTATGAATTTTTAATTAATTAGCAAGGGAAATAATTCCTTCGATTATTATGTATTATGTAGAATTGTTAGTATTTATGTCGTTAGTACGATACGATATGTAGTACGATATTTGTTAGTACGATATTATGCAGATTGTTAGTATTTATGTTAATATATAAAATGCGCAAATGTTTCAGGTTGCAATTTTGAAAGCATGCTAAATATTAATAATACTTTTCGTGAAACATCCAACAATGGATACATTTTAATGACATAAATCAAGCTGATACAACTATTTCAAAAATTTTATTGCAATCGAAATTTTTAATAATTATTTTTGAGATTACAACAGGTAAGAAAAATTAATTCATTGATAATTACATTACGATATTTTATTGTTTCAAATATTCCATTACTATTGCTATTTCATCATATACATATATTGAAATAATATTGCTTGCTGTAATAGATCTTAGTTACAAATTATCATTGAAAATTTTGCTTTAAATTTTAATATCATCAATCAGTTGAATGTAAATATATTGATATATTATGCCAAAAGATTTGAATCGAAATATTTATGATATAAATAATATAATTATCTTTAAGTGTAACTTTTTTCCCCTTTTGTTTTATGTTAAATATCATAGCTGGCATTATCAAATAGATATTTTAAAATTCAAAATAAAAATTTGATGATATCGGATTTAATATAATATTCATCGTGAGGATTTTCATTAATTAGAATAAAATATTAGAATAAGAAAAACGAATATCTTTTAGTATTATTCGAATTTATTCCTTTACTTATTTTATAGAACGATAGTAGGAAGCATAAAAATCTTACAATGATTGATAAACAATTTTCAAGGTGATAAGGAAGAAGAATGGGGCTTTCATCATTTATATTCAATTTACTCGAATAATTTAAGTCATAGAAAATATCAATAATTTTACATGGATATATTTACCGTTTACCTCTTCATTATCACAATTTTGCAATTATCAAAGCATATCAGGTAATCATTTTTCAATATCTTCCCTCATTTAATCAATAAATTTGATAAAATATTACATTCATTTGTATCAATAAAAACTTCATAAGTGCTATTAATTATCATTTAATGAGAATGATGTAATTTGATCTGTCAGATTTTATTTCATCAATTTAGCATTGCTTGCTTCTCCTAGAATAATCAAAGCATTCGGTGTTGATTGATCGTATGATAAGTTAGAAAGTATCAAAATGAAATTCTTTTCTCGCATAAATTTATAACACAGAATTTATTTAATTACAAGTAGAAGCTGTTTAAGTGCAAAATTTCATCGTCTAATTAGTTTCAATTAATTAACTTCAGCACAATTACAAATGATCTCAGATATTTCAAAGAATGAATTAAATTTATAATAAACTTTAAAATTTCAAATTTACTCTAAAATTTAAAATGGGAAATTTAAAATAGAAATTTTTATACTGTTTGATTTAAATAGGAAATTTGAAAAAAAGAGTTAATTAAAATAGAAATTTAAAATGGAAAAGAACAATAAGAAAATTGGAAGGATTCATTTCAAATAAAAAATAATTTTATGTATTTTGAATTTGGTAGCAAAATTTTATATTTAAATTTTTTGTCTTACAAAATAATTGTTGGATAAAACAATGAAACAATTTTTTAATATTTATTTTTGCTTAATATCTTAAATCATTCGTTAATTAATGATAGCAATTGCTACTGTTAACGGAAGCAATTATGAAATGATATTATTCAATTTGACTACTTTTAATGATTCGTATTTTATTAATAGATGGAATTTTGTACCGCGGGAAGAAATGATTTTAATTGGAATTTTAGTTGAATTTCTCGGGATGAAATGATTTTTTATTGATTTGCTTAGAAAGACTTAACTGATAATTACTTTATTGTTGAATTTCATACTGATAATGATAGCTGTTGAAGTCCCTAAATAATATAACATTACGGAGAGTGATATCATTAGATTAATTTCTTATCAAATAATCTTTTCTTTTCACCAAATTGTATTTTAATTAATTTTGAAAAATTTTTCATAATTGAAATAATAGTGGCACTTTTTTGGATTTAGGCTTTTTTTTTGAATTTCAGATCGATCTTTACGGGAAAATTTACAAGTATAATAGAAGAAAATGAAAAAAGTAATAGCGATTTGAAAGAAATTGAATTTAAAAAAAAAATCTTATTTCTATTGATAATTGATATTTATAATTAAACAATGATAATTGATATTTATAATTAAACAAAATTAAGCTAAAATTCTAGATGTGGTACCGGAATTCGAACGGTTACCACAACATTTGGTGTATTGAGAGGTACAATAGTGAGTCCAAATGTTGATGATTTACCACCTGTGGTACAATATCTTGGAGTTCCATATGGTGTCGCACCTTCCGGACAGGTATTTCCACTCTACTCTTCTTTTTTTCAAATTTTCACAATTATTTAATACAATCTATTCAATATTAACTGGCATCAATAATTGTTGAATGTTTTTGATAACATTAATAACAAGCATAAATTGATGATGTAGATGATGAATGAATTAAATTCATTTTATTAGTATCGTTTCAATATGGCTATATCAGCAGCAAAATGGACTCATATACCTAAAGATGCTTATAGCTTGTCATCTGTTTGTATACAATCCGGAATTCCGGAGCTCGCTGAAACAAAGTAAGAAAAAAATCTTTTTTTTGATTTTCTATTTTGTTTTCTTCTGATTTTTAATTTCATTGTAACATACTATAATTTAAATTTTATCATTATCTCTTATCTCTTTTTTATCATTTTATCATTATCATTATTTTATCTCTTTCTCTTTCTCTCCCTCTCTCTCTCTCTCTTTCTTCGCTCGTTAAAGAATGTTTTTGTCATCAAATTCTTTTTTCGATTATAGTAAAATTTAAACAATTTTATTTGGATCTAAGTGATTACATTAGAGGTCGTGAAAGTTTCTTTTCTGCAGAATTACAAAGAATAATACATTTGAGTGATTTTACTGTTCAGGCGGTAATAACCGGACAGTAATAATTGGTAATAACCTGGATATTTCCAGAATGTTCATTTTTCCAGAGCTCTTAAGATGACATCAGCGCAGCGTTATGATCATATGCACAAATTATTGCCAAAACTAAAACCACAATCGGAGGATTGCTTGCATATGAATTTATATGTACCCGAAGGAATTTGTATGTTTCTTATTAAAATTTTAAAATTAATAAAATTCTAATTATTTCATTGATTTTACTTATAGCTCAATTTTACAAAGAGAAAATTCTAATTTGATTAATTCCATTTTCATTAATTTATTTAGAATGTTATCATCGAACAATGTAAGATTTTGCAATCATTTATGTTGTTCTGCAAAAATTGATCACCAAAAAAAAGTTTTAGCTTTTCATACGAATTCAAACCGAAGACAATTACCGGTTCTTGTCGTAGTACATGGTGATGAATATGGTTGGAATAGTGGTAATCCATACAACGGTACCATACTTGCATCATATGGTCAAATTATCGTTATCACACTTAATTATCGTCTTGGAGTTTTTGGTATAATTATTTTTGTTTATTTTGATATAATACATAGTTTCTATAATATGTTGAAATAAAACTGAATATTTTTATAATTTAGGAATACTGTTAAAAATAGTTTTTTATCCTAATAGAAAATTTAAATTTAGGATTTTTGGGTCGATGTGAATCATCGAGTTGTTCCGGTAATTCAGGTTTATCAGATTTGGTAGCAGCTTTAAAAATGCTCACAAATATTTTGCCAGCTTTTGGTGGTGATCCAAGTTTAATAACACTATTAGGCTGGGGTTCTGGTGCATCACTGGTAAGTGGATTGATTGATAACTTCTCTCTTTTTTTAAATTAAAAAAGTAATTAAGAAAATTTCACAGGTGTTTAAATATTTTGCTATACATGTTACAATGTAAAAATTTATAGGTTTCTTTATTGATGGCTTCACCGATAACTCAACCCAATAATCGAATGTTTCGACGGGCAATCCTACTAGATGGTACAGCGCTTTCGCCATGGGCAATGAGCAAAAATCCTCAGCCGATATTCTTCCAACTTGCTGAACATTTGGGGGTAGTAGCAAAGCTATCATAATTTCTCATTTAAATAATTATTGAACAAATAGTTTGGATTAGTTCAATTAAATTATTTCAGTGCAAAAAAAGAAAATTTCATTTTCTGCAAAATTATAAAATTCATTGCTTAATTATTTAATTATATCACTTCTGATAGTGATTTTAACAGAATTAATTAAAAATATATCTGTAAATTTGATAAATTTTATTTAAAATCAAAGTAATCTAAAAAATAGGAGAAGGGAAAATTGAAGTGAATTTTGTTTTTAGATTAAAATCTTAGTAAGTAAAATTTTTGATCGTAAAAATTTTATAAAATTAAATTGGATCAAATGTGATTAGATAAAATGCTATGATCTGAACTTTGTCTAAGCTATAAATATCTTTTTTTTTTATTAGCTGGACAGATCAAGCAAAATGATTTAAATTCATTTTCACACTTCACTACTACATATATAATTTGAAATTATTATAGTGCAACGAAATAGTGGACAAAAAGAAACATCTATCATATAATCAAAGAAGTGTAGAAAGTATCGTACGTTGCATGCAAGATCATTCGCCACAAAATATTACACGAGCAGCGCGAAAAATTTCCACACCAACATTTCTTTCACGATTTGCGCCAATTGTTGATGGACAGGTAAAATTCTTTCATATTACAATATTTTAACTATTATATATAAATGAAATTTCAGGTTGTACCGAATAAACCGGAAGCATTATTTGGTTCACAATATGGTTCATTATTTCGTAATGTTGATTTATTAGTTGGAATGACCAGTAATCCGGCTCATCATCTTTTACCAAATGATGATATACGATTAGGTATTAACAAAGAGAAACGTGATAAAATTTTCCGGTTTGTAAATTACATTTTTTTTATTTTTCAATTCTTTAACTTTTATCAAAATCATTATAAATATGTTGAAAAAAGATTAACAGCAAAGATTATTTTCAGAACACTGATAAGGAATCTTTATGATTTTCATCGTAAAGAAATTTTTGCAGCACTTATAAATGAATATACAGACTGGGATAATCCTAAGGTAAGAAATTTCATAACAGCTGTTGAATTGTTTGCATACTATTAGCATCTATTTTGAAATTAAAAATTTTTTAAAAAACATGGCAAAGTGTAATTGTACAGATTTTTATTATTGATCAATTATGATATTCGGTTGTGAATTATATTATAATTATGTATTTCTAAATCTTTTTGTTTTGTTAAATTCATTATTTTTAAATTCTCTTTTATGTTAGATGCTAAAATTACTGCATTTGATGTATTCCCGTTAAACATTATATCTAAATTAGTTATGATTGAATTAAATTTCCTTTTTTTAAAATTTAACAAAACAAAAATATAACTGACAACTATTATAATTAATCAATGATAGCATTTGGATTAATTCAATGCTAATTTATGGAAAACTATTTTAATTTTAATAAAAGTAAATAAAATTCAGAAGTTTATTTAAGGATCATCCAAAAACAATTCGCAATGGTGTTCTTGCGGCCCTTAGTGATGTTCTTTTTGTTGCGCCACTAATTGAAACAGCTCGATTACATTCTATTGATGATGATCGGGTGGCATCAAATACTTTCATGTATGAATCCAATCTATTTTTTTTATTTCATCTATCTCTCCAATCTAATAAAATTGACTTAAAATTCAACTTGTAAAATGTTTAAATTAACTTACTAATAAATTATTGCCAATTGATTTGCTTGATTTAACTATATGTGTGTGTATATTTCAAATTACTAAGAATATTTATTTAGCAACTCATATTTAGGTTTTTGTTTGCACATGAATCGAAGAGTGTAACGGAGGAAACAATTGCAAGTGGTATTCGTGGTTCCATTTCCGGTGACCAAATACCTTATATCTTCGGCTATCCACTTGACAAATATGATGATGTTAGTTTAGAATTTTTAATTTTATTATAATTTCAAATTAATTTACATAACGAATGTACATAACGAAGCGACCAATTCAAGTTATGATAATATGATAATAAATGTAAATTATGAAAAATCATCAAATATTTGCAAAAAGTTTTTCATAATATCTTTTCATTCTAAATTCATTATCACAAGACATTTTTATCAGATCTTTATCAACTGTGTCCCATTTTTTCGTCTTATCTTTTTCCACCAATAAATCAATCATTCATCGATCGACAATTTATATAAATAAATTAAAAATTAATTTTGCTCTCTTAATTTTTTCAAATTTATTTTAGCTTTATTCTGGTTTCACAAATGAGGACCAAATGATCTCACGTGCCATGATGTATTACATTTCAAATTTTGTTAAATCTGGGTATATATTTTATTTTCCAAAATTGCTGCTTTCATTAACTTAAAATTTAGACTTAAAAAAATAAAAAATAATTTTTTAAGACTAAATATGAAATGATGTCATAATTCAACTATTTCATTTTACTATAATTAATCTTTTATAGCTTAAAAAAGAAAACAATATGATAGTTGGATAAGAAACAAGTTTTTGACAATTTTACTTCATACTTAATTCAAATGTTTTCATTCATCAGAAAAACATAAATTGGATCAATATCTAATAACGATACTTTATATGTATATTTTAAAGTGATCCAACTAAGTCAGTTCAATTGCAAACGATAAAACCGATCGCTGAACGTTTTCATAGTACAACTTGGCCACAACTTACACAACGAAATCGTGAACCTTATTTAGAAATAAGTTCGAACTTTTAAATTCTTCAATGATTCTTATTTGCATGAATTTGTATAATTGTTTATTATTAAACAACACAAAAACTATTTGATTTCATTTGTTTTTTGTTTACGTAAACACTTAACTTATCTTTTGATCTGATACCGTTACTTAAAAACTATAAGATTATTTTTAAAGTATGATCTTTCATCTTTAATAATTATTTCTTCTAGCTGATAGACCGCAAGTGAAAAATTATTACCGTAATGCTCAAGTAGGTTTCTGGAATGGTTTAATACCACAATTGCATGCTAATGGAAAAGAAGGTGTACCTGTACCTGAGGTATATTTACAATTATGCATAAAAAATTTTTAAATTTAAAATATAATTCATTATAAGTTATATGTTGAAAGAAGTTGGAAATTTATGTTTAAATTAAAATTTTGATAAAAGTTAAATGTTTCTTTTTAAGGAACATCATTTTCTTCCAAATCATTTCAAACGTGATTCATTTTTTGGTACTGTAAGACCATTTGCAAGCTACGCTAATGAACCATTTCCACCGCCACCACTTCCACCAACTCCGCTTCCAAAATCTATCGAAAAGCTTACAACATGTTTGTGATTTACTTGATTTTTTTTTAATCAATGCTCAGTTCAAAAATTATATTATCTGTTAATGAAACTAGACGATATTTAATTTGAGTTACTTCATGATAGTATACGATAATTTATGTATAGTTAAGTATTAGTAGAGGAATGATTTAAGTAAATCATGAAGATTACTTTATATAGCTACCGGTAAAAATATATCAAATAGATGAAATCAAATATTCCAATGTCTATTTACCGGTTATTTTCAACGAAATGAAAACCGTAAAATGATGTTTTAGTGCCATCACGTGAGACAACTTCTGATGGAACATCAACAACTCCAGTGCCATATGTAAAATCAGCTCAGAATAGCACGATGTTATCGGTTACAGTTGCTGTTGGATGTGGCTTATTACTCCTCAATATATGTATTGGCCTTGGTCTTTATAGACAGGCTCGTTTTTAAATATTGAAAAATCAATCTATCATTTTTTTAAGCTTAAAGTTTGATTTATTGCATTTTTAATTTAATAATTAATGATTGATGGAATTTAGCTCCTTCATATTTCTGAAATTATTTAAATTTGCACTTTTAGATTAATTAATTAAAGCAAAATTAGCATATAATGCTAATTGAGAAATTTTAGTTGAATTTTATAATATTTGAAATTTTTCTTTCCTATAAGCTATGAGTTAGTAATGCAAAAAAAGGTTATATTTTTTCAAACTTTTTTAATTTATAATTTTCTCTCATTAATGGCAGCTTTGTATATTTGTATTGTTTTAGAATAATGAATTAGCATAATAAAATTTCTTCTTTAATTGTTTATTTGTTATATTTTAGAAGAGTTGTGCAAACAATATAAGCACTCTGAATTTTCACTTCTTTAAATTTCTCTTTAATCTCCTCTTCAAAGATTTAAATTCTTTAATTTCATGAAATTTCACTTAAATCCGTTTAAAGAAACAATCATATTTTCTCGATACATTTTTATAGTGTAATAAGAAAGAAGAAACAAAGAAAAAGTTGCAGTTACAATATCAAACTTATTCGACTAATTATCAATTAAATGCTACCGATATGAATTACGTCAATAATATTACCGCACAACAGGTTTGTTGTGAATCTAAAAATTACTTAAAACAAAAAGGTAAAACAAAATTATAAACCTAAAATTTAAAATCGTAAAAAATTTTGCGGAAAAATTAAAATAACATTGTAAAATAGCTTTACTAAAGATTATTATCAGTCAGCTAAAACAAATGCATTTCATAATTTTAGGCTTATGAATGATATGAAAATAATTAATTATTTATCAGTGTTATATGATTGTGAATAGTTAATTAGTTTAATATTTTTAAATTATCAATTTTAATAATTTATAAAAATTTTTGCAGCAATTAAATTATATGTCACAACCACCACTGCCATCACTCAGTCAACGACCATCAATAACAAACTCAATGACTGCACCATTAGATTCATCATCATCGAAAACGAATGAATTTGAAACGTATCGTGCGGGTTCCTATCAAAACTACAGTGATACAACACATAGTGATGCATTAATTACTAAATGTAATTTTCAGGAACAGGTGAATCTATAATAATACTACATTGTAATTCACCTGGATTAGATATTTTTGTTTACACAATGAATTAATATTTTTTAATTTTAATTAAGCTTCAAAAACTCTCTTTCAGGTTGTTTTGTTTGTATTATTTAAAAAAAAAATTCCTCCAAATTTATTAATAATTTTATTTATAATTTCAAATAATAAATTTCATCCCAAAATTAACAATATCAGATAGAGTAAAATCTAATTTTATTAAATAATATTAGCTTCAGCATCAATTTTGTTATATTAAAAAAAGTATTGTCACATTAATTTCCATTTTTTTTTAATTTCATATAACTTACTTTTACCTTTTTTTCAGGTGATAAGTGATTACTTTTNTACTTTTTTTCAGATGATAAGTGATTACTTTTATCTTTTTTTCAGGTGATAAGTGATTACTTTTACTTTTTTCAGGTGATAAGTGATTACTTTTACCTTTTTTTCAGGTGATAAGTGATTACTTTTACTTTTTTTCAGATGATAAGTGATTACTTTTATCTTTTTTTCAGGTGATAAGTGATTACTTTTACTTTTTTTCAGATGATAAGTGATTACTTTTATCCTTTTTTCAGGTGATAAGTGATTACTTTTTACTTTTTTCAGATGATAAGTGATTACTTTTACCTTTTTTGATTATGTAAATTTCAATCATTAAATTTCATAATCCTTCCGACCTGTTTATTTTAAATAAAAAGTTTAAATATGTAAATTTGAAATTTGTTATCGTTTTATTATTTTAGGAGCCATTATTGTCAACGACAAATAAAACATCAATAGGATCATTGCGAAATGGTGTAAATCCAACATGTCCAAAACATGGACGAGCAGCAATGGCCCAAGCAAGTAGTAAAGTTAGCTCATTAAGTGGCCTATCAACAGGTGGACATGCAATGGAAGAAATACAAGTATAATGCATGCATGCATGCATTGTTGCAATTTTATGTATCTTCCATTTGGTTGCATTCTTCATGTAAATCTTTCTTTCTTTTTCGTTTTGTTACTTTCATTAACACATTTGTTGTTTACTTTTTAAAAATAAAATTTTATTTATCTGACATATTTATAAGTTAATGCAAAAAAAAACATTAACTTCAAATAATTTATAATCTATGCTTTAATTTTCTAAGGGTTAATTAATTATGTTTTAAAAAAAGGATTGAATTTAATTAAATTTTACTGTTTGCAAGCATTCAGTATATTTTAAAGCATATGAATTATAACATATTATGATGACCTTACGACCTGCAGATTATTGCTATAAAACTTTGAAATAATCCAAATATCTATTATAAACAAATTTTTACAGTTAGCTTTTATTTTTCTTAATGACAGATCGTTTCAATAATAATGAATTTTGTTAATTTAAAAGATAGCGTATGATAATTTGAATTTTATCAATGGAAGAATAACTTTTTGATAAATTTTATCATTTCTATTTTAATTAATTTTAATTAATTTGATTGAATATTTTAATTAATTGTAAATATTCGATAAATTGTTATTTATGCTCAATTATTATGCGAAGAAATGATAATGTTTTGCTAATTGAAATAAGTTTACAATAAATAATTGATAATTTTAGTGTTTGTCAGAAACAATTCTATAAACAATATATAATTCAAAAATATATAATTAATTAAACTATTACATTTCTGCAGATAATCATAAATTAAAACATTTAAGAAACATAAATTATTTTAAATCATCTAATTCAAAAACTTTTTATCAGTTGAGAAGAAAAAGAAAATTTTAAGAACAAAGTTGACACTATTAAAACAAAAGATTATCAGTCAAATGATTAAATCAATGATAAATTCTTCTTATCAGAATTAAAAAAAGAAATTTTTGAATTAAGAAAAAAACTATGAATCAGAATTATTTCAAAAATTATTTTTCTACAATAACTGACAGATACAGCAAATTAATTTGCAAAATAATCTGATTTGATAAATTGTTGCCAGCTCCCTCTGCACGATATCTCTGCAAAAAATAATTTCAGTTGTAAACAAAAAAACAATAACTACAATCGGTTTGTTCAAAGGATTTTTCTCAAGTTTTGTTTGTTTATTTGTTTGCTTTTCAAATATAATGATGAAAGAAATAAACTTTCAATATTTTGCGGCCATACAAATGGTTATATGCATAAAGTGAAAGAAGTACTGGTGGGAATTGAATAAACAACTGGAAGGATAGATATGGATAGATTAAGTAGTGAATATATCACAGAACAATTTCATTGCATATTTCATCGATGATATTACATCAAAAAACTAATAGAATTTTTTTTCTCATTTCCATTTTCTTCCTAATAAATTATTTCATTTTAAAAGTTTTATCTTATCAAAAATTGATAACATTCGCTTTTGCATAGCTCGATAGTGATAAAGGGAAATTGTTATTACTAAAAGATTTTATGTACATTATAATAGAATGAATATTTTCATTTGAATTAGTAATTATCAAATTCAATTGTTTCATTTCTAAATTTTATAATTAAATTATAATTTGCTTATATCTTCGCCATTGAAAATAGTAAAGTATTTGATAATAATAATTTTCCAATCATTGATAAAAATGAATGAATGAATAAAAGGGAGCTTCTTAATTTAACAATAATTAAATTAAAATATTTAAATACAAAAAAATATGTTTCAATATTATCTTTTATTTTTGATAATTAAAAATATAAACAATACTTATAAGATCAAATAATTGTGTATTGGGAATAAATAATTTTACTTCAAAGATTTTGTAATAATTAAATTGTCGTTAGCATAATTTATTATTATTATTACTATTATTATTACTATCATTATTATTATTATTATTATTACTACTATTATTATTATTATTATTATAAGAAAATGGTTTAGACTCAAGTGAACTTACATGATGATTGCATAAAATTACTTACGGGAGTTGAATAAATACAAAAATTAGCTTTAATAGTATTCAATTCATATATCAAATTTCTATTCAAAGAAAGAAATACTCCAATTCATACAAACATTTTACAACCAACCATTTATTTTATATTTTATAGCAATTTCTCCCTTAATTTATTTATTTGATAACGAAGCATTTCATTAGTCTTTCCCTTTCTCAACAAATATTATTCAGAACTTTTTAAATAAAAGAAATGAAAAAGGAAAGTTGTTGTTTCCAGCTCTAATTAATTCTATTATTTAACGTTTTTTGTTTTTCCTGTTATTCAACCTTTTTCTTTTAAATTTGAATTCTTTCCAAAATTATTTCATTCAACGTTTGTTCGTAAATTTTGAGAGTAAAGGGAAATTTCGTGACAGCCATTATAATCAACAAAATAATATCAAACCATAATACATCGCTTTATCACTTCCTCTTCATCTAATTTTCATTTATTTCAATGAAAATTAAATTAAAATTCTTTTTAGATTCTTATTTGCTTATTTAATATAGCATGTTATTGTATATTCACATAAAAGAAATGAATTTAATAAATAAATTAATAGCATTTTCTATTTCCTTTTTTTTCCTATCGATCTGATGTGAATTAATTAGAAAAAAAGAGGAATTTAAGTAGATAGATTAGATGAGTGGTTGGAATGGATGGCTGGTTGGAATGGCTGGTTGGTTGGAATGGCTGGTTGGTTGGAATGGCTGGTTGGTTGGAATGGATGGCTGGTTGGAATGGATGGGTGGAATGGATGAATTTGAGTATGAAAAGAATTGAGTAATTGAAATATATTTTTGTTTTGAATTATTGTATGACAAACTTTGAAGAATAAAAAATTCCTTCTATTATTAAAAAAAGTGATAAATAATTTCTTCCTTTTATTTCACAACTTATTAATTACATACAAATCTGTTATTAAATAGAAGGAATTTTTAATGAATTTTAAAATAATGCTAATTAATTACTATTAATGCATATATATTAGAATTAAGTTGACAATTTTAAATTATTTAAAATTGTTGAAAAATTTTTTCATTAATAAAATTATCATTTGAATACTATTTCAAAAATTATGAAAAGAAAATTTTTTGAAAATATCAAAAAACAATAGAAAGAAATTTAGTAAAATTTTTGATAAGACAAAAGAAAAAGTTTATCATTAATCAAATAATATTTTAAAATGTAAAAATTATTGTATTGAATGTATAATTAATTGACTGACAAGCAATTTTAATGTGACAGAAAGATAATTGTTGAATTAAGCGATATGCTAAAAGAGTTGATATTTTTGCTAAATAATAAAGATAAAGGGGATAATTAAGTCGAATAATTAGTAGTTTGAAGTTTTTAGAGGTGAGTGTTAATTTTTGGTTTTTGTTTCAAAATTGTTAACTTCCCAATACTTTTTATTATTATTGCTATTTATTTACAAAATAAATAAACACTGAATTTAATAATTTTTAAATTTTAAATTAGTAAACTTACGGTTTTAAAAAGAAATTTTCAATAAACACAATTAAAGATTTTTCAATAATTATCATTTCTTGTAATTGCTGAACAAATGATTAAAATTTTAATAGATTAAATCATAGGATAATTAATCTAATATGATCATATCATTGAAATGATAATCAATACTGCTAATCATTACTAGTTACAAAACCATTTCCTTTTTTGAAATCTATGTTAAATTTCAAATGAAATTAAATTCTCTGAAATGAATCTTCTTTGATAAATTTCTCACAGTTCATCATTTATGAATTTTAAATAATTCCTTATCATTCATTTTATTGCATATTTCTCTAATATCTTTTTGTACTAAATCGGTGACGAATTTATATCTTAGACCTAAGATAGTACCAATAATAAATGTTCTATTCAATCATTCTGTCCTTTTAGAAGGATTTCAAAATGTTGGTTGAAATGGATTTCAAGATGTTGCCTGAAATGGATTTCAAAATGTTGGCTGATATTAAAATAGATTTTACAAATTGACAAAAAAAAAGAAAGAAGAAAACTTCAAAATTGGATTACAACAAAAATGTAAAATAACATGTTGAAAAAAAGCGCTATGTGAGAAATGTTATAATTAAGTATCGCATGATGTGATTGGAAACAAAAATGCTTTAATTTCTATTTCACAATTTCATTACTCAATTGGTAGAATTGAGCTCGCTTTTGTTTAGCATAGCATGTTTGACATAATATTTAATATCGTATGTTAAGTGTAATATAGCATTTTTCTTAATACGGCAATGTTTATGCTTAGTATAGTATAGTGTGTTTAGATGGTACAATAATTTAATATAGTATTACTGGTTAATATAGTTGTGTTTAGCATGGTATGTTTAGTATAATGTTTAGTATGGTATACTATTTCTGTTTATCTTTAGTATAGTAATTTGATTTACAACAAACCAATTCTTTAAATTTTTTTTTATTATCTTTTTTTGCAAAGTGACAAATAAACTTTGCAAATTTTCTGCCAGCCTTTTTTGCACGCTTTTTATCTCATCTTACTTTTATTTTTTCAAATTCTTTATTTTAACAAAAAGATAATTTAATATATGTGAGCAAGTGGTTGGCAGATTCGGTAATTAAGAGGTTTATATTAGAAGTTTGTCAGTTTTAGGTAATTAAGCGATTTATATAAAAGTTAAACAATAAAATTGCTAAAATTTGTAAATTTGATATGGCACAAACAAAAATTGATAAAATCATATTTTTCAAAATTGTATGTAAGATTTATTCAATGAGAAAATATTACCTTTTGAAATTGAACTTTTAAATTATGTGAAAAAATATTTCTGTAGTATTTAATTTTTAACAAAATTTCAACTGTTAAAAAAGCATGAAATTTAGAATTGCTTTTCTAAGTATGTTTCTCAATGGATTGATATCATTGTGATCTGTCATCTATTCATCGAATCGTATAATATTCATATTGAAGGGTGGAAGATACGACCATTAAGAAATTCATTGAAAAACATGCTTAGGAGGGCAGGGGAGGAACGAAAAATTTCGTTGTTGACAATCAAAACTGATATCAGTAAATATTATATCGCTAAAGAGGGAAGAAGAGAGAGAGAGAGAGAGATGGGAACTTTTGATAATATTGTTTGAATTAAGAAAAAGATAAGATAGAGTAAAAAAGGAAAGAGATGAAAAAGGAAAGACAAATAAACAAACTGGAAGGATTACAGGCATTCGAAGAAAAAAAACTTTCCAGTTCACTTTTATCCAGCCTCTAATTTCAGCCTTATAATTTTGATTAGTAAGAAGTGAGAGGAATATATTTACTTTGTGTTATAACTATGAAAACAACAAGTTTGATGATGGATATGGTAAAGGTTGCAATTATCATTGTTACCACAACAACAACAACAATAACAACGACATCTTCAAATTATCTTCAAATGGATAATAATTTGAGTAAGTTAAATTTTATATTAATTAATTCAATGTATTGTTATATAATTAATTGAATACCATACATATTAGTAAGGTGAGATAAATGAACTGAAAAGAATTTTAAAGTTAAAAAATTAAAAGAAATTTGATCATTTTGTTGATTAGTGAAAGAAATTATCATCTATAGGTGGTAATAAAAAAGAATTTCATGGATCGCAATTTTTGCCATTTTGCTAAGTTTGCATGCATCATAAGTACATGCATGCATGCATGGATGTTTTCTATTGTTCGCTATATTCAATCATTAAATAATATCAAATTTCAATATAATAAAATTTATGCATAAAAATAAAAATTAATTAAACGCAACTATTTTGATAAAATAAAAAGCATTTTAAGTATCATAAATCAAACTTAACGAACTTCAATATAACTATCAAATCAAACTTAACGAACTTTGATATTTCTCTGACTAAAGAGAGAATTTCAATTTCAACTTAAAAAAAACCATAACGTCTAAATTTCAAAGTTTGCTTTTAGTTTATGAAATTATTTAAATTTTAAATTGAATCTTTAAATTTACTAAATTCAACAATCACCTAAGTTTCTCATTTGTTCATTAATTATTTTGAAACATTTCTGAGATAATTAATAAATTTGGTTTAATTTTTTTTTTGAGTCGATAATTTTTAAATTACACCACTTGAAGTAATAATTTCGTTTTACGGAAATATCTTTCAACACATACTTAGCATAAAAAGACAAAAAAATTTTCATTGAACTTTTTTCATACATATTGATTTATTGACAGCCGTTGTATTTCTTTCTTGGAAAGAAATTCCTTTAAAATTTATTTTCTTAAATTTGCAAAATTTGTAGAAAAATTTATGCGTGCATATTTTCTTCTTGTTCATTATTAAATTTGATAAAACTATCTAATATTTTGATGCGAAATTTAAATCGAATTTAAATTTCTTAAAAGCTTAACACAATTTTATGATTAATAAATTTTATATGGAATAGAAGAAAATTGGCAAAACAATTCTTCCTCATAAATATGCTAAAATTTCATCAAAAATTTGATTGCATTTTATCTCTTACAAATATTATATTACTCTTATGGATGTAATTAATTCTTAAAAATTAATTATTGCTATCAAATATTGCCAAAAAATATATTTGTGAAGTATATCATTTCTCTCATATCTATTCAAATACATTTTTCAAGTATTTTATTTTAAGTAATTCATTTACGATTAAATTTTGCTGTTGCAAAATCATTCGTATTAATTGAAAATGATGTGAAAATTAATAGAATATGATGAAATAAAGATTTCATAATAAAATATTTAACATAATACAGCAATTATTTCATTTTAATTTTTCAGATTCATACAGCCCAATGAATGATGCATACGAGCCGATTGATTTATTAATGAAAAAAGGTTTCATTTTTTTAATTTTACATCATTAATTAAAATGTCTTAACAAATACTGTGATAATTTTAGTTTATTATATGTTACTATCATTTACGTAATTTAAATTATTTCATCAGTAATTTCATTTTGCGTTAAAATGCCTTAACAAGTACTGCTTGTGATAATTTTAATTTATTATATTTTAGTATCATTTAAATAATTTAAATTATTTCATCAACAATTTCACTTTACTAAAATATAATAACACAAAGAAAAGTTGTCCTTTAAAAATTTTAATTTTTTATTTTGAGAAATATGAAATAATTTCAATTCGATTTTTTCCTCTAACAAATAGTTAAATAATGAAGCTTATTATTATTATTATTATTACGAAGAATTATAATGAAGTTTATTATCATTAAAATTGAATATTTCCATTATCAATTTTCTGTATACATATATATATGTGTGTGTGTGTGTGTGTGTGTGGTAAGAGTATATGTTTTTTTTTTCTTTTTAACTCATTCTTGCTAAAATTTTTTTAAAAACAAAGATTTAATTAGAAATTAAAATAAGTAAAATGAAAATGAAGATTTTTAAGCGGGTTAATTTATTTCGAAGAAAAAAAGAAATTGTTATGAATGATTGCAAAATAATAACAAAAAAGAGAGAATGAGAAAATGAGAAATGAAGAAATAGATAGATAGATTTGAACATTTAGTAAATTAAAAAATTATTGAAATATATTCCCAATGGAAAAGTATGGAAAAGAAATTTTTGAAGAGATAAACGACAGGAAAGTAAAAAGAGAAAATTAAAAATTTTCCTTATATTTCATTGGAAAATATAAAAGTTTCAGAAACTTACATTTCATTCAATTTTATTTTGAAATTTTTTTAAATGACAGATACTAAAATTTGTCATTTAAATTTCATAAATTTTATAATATTTCAATGATTTCCTAAAAAGTTCAAATATCACAAAATAAAAATTGTAACTAAGAAATTACTAATAATTTTATTTGTGGAGAGGATTGAAAGAGTTAAATTCTAAAGCTGGCATTAACAGATTTCTAGAAAGCAAAAATAATAGTAATGATTTGATTGAATGATTGAAATTGCGATTTAATCTTTAAATCTATAGAAAGTAAGTAGCAGTTTATATGGGATAAAATTGCTTCCCACTAAATTATATATTTAAAGTGGATGAAAATATTTTGGAAGGTCAAATTGATGAAGTAACTTATCTTATCATACAAAAATTAATTCGATCCATTTATTTAAGAAATAGATTTTAGCAGTCAAATTTACAAATTATGATTGATATTTCAGATTTAAATGATTACGAAACAGATTCGGTTTACAAAAATCTTGCACGAAATATGATACCGTATGATGCAAGATATTATGAAAAAAAAGATGTGCCAGGTTAATTTTTCATGTAGTTAAAATATATAATTTGTTTAATTTTATACTTTGTTAATTATTATTTTAATGCATAATTTTCAGGTGTATTGAGATTTGGTAAAAGGGAAGGAGATATTCCGGGTGTATTAAGATTTGGTAAACGCAATGATGATATACCACGTGTACTACGTTTTGGGAAACGATTAGGATCAGGCGTATTACGATTTGACCGTCGCTAAGCAGGAATAAAATACGCAAACAAAAATGGAAACACCAAATGATAAATTTTAATTGCTAATAAATGATGTTAGAAATGTAAAATGCTAAAATTGAAAATATTTAATTCGATGAATTTTAATTGTAAAAAATATTCTAGAAATAATAATGATATTAATTAATTTGAAGGAAATATATCATTTATCTGCTAATGATAGATGATATGAGTGTGAACAATATTGATAAGTCGTATATATATATGATTTCATATCGTTGTTGGCCCACAGATTGATTATTCTTTCCCATGAAATTACTATTAATTATTTCTCGTATGAGAAAAACCTCGGAGTGAAAATGATATAAAACAGAATATATTGTTTTTCATGATGGAATTACGAAAGAGAAAATTTTGAAATTAGCACAAATGAAAAAAATAAGTTTGAAGTAAAATTGAAATTTCCAAAAATCAGTGAATTTAAATTTAGGAGCTTGAAAATATGATATGTATTTGCTTGCTTACTTCAGAATTCAATAAATGTGATACTGTATAAGATTATAACAATTATCAGGACTGATCGATTATCCGATATTCTAACAAAAGAGAAAAAAAACGAAATCATTCAGAAATCTTCCGGAAAAGTAATAAACATTCATTTTTATCTATTATTTAATCAAATTCGAAATTCCAGTAGACTTTAATTTACCTGAAATAACATTGATAAATTTTCTTTTCTGATTACTAAAACCGATCATCCATTATCAATTTGTTACCGGATTGATTGTTTTCTTTTTCAATGGAATAAAAATTGATGATAGATTTAGAGATTTTCGGAAAGTGTAAATAATTCACGAAAAAATAAAATATACAGGAAAGGATGATTATGTGAAATTTTAATTTTGAAATATACTCAGTAGAACTTTAAAGTTTAATACCATAAGTTGAAATCGTAATGTTATTCATTTTCTGATATTATTTTCTAATAAATTTTAATAAATTTTGAAAATTAAACAAATTCATTTTTCTTTTTAAAAATTATCAATAAAAAATTAAAAGAGAATTATTTTATAAATATTTTAAAAGGGTACCTTTAAAAATTCTTCTTATATTTTAAACGATAGATTTTATAATGGCTGAAAATAAATAGAAGAACTATTATTATTACTATTAACTATTAACTATAAAAGCTATTTGTAATTATATTCTTTATCTCTCTCCTTTTTTCCTACCACTTAACACTTTTTCATTCAGTGACAAATATCACATGCAGATCGGTATCTTCAAAAGAATACCACAATTGAAGGTGTTAATTTAGTTTCTTCAACAAATGTGATTTCATTTGTCCTCGATTAACAGTAATTTACATGACGAGGTTATTTCGCTAATCGACCATTTAACTACTAAGATTGTTATATACATGTATGTCTTAGAAGTGAAACACTTTGATGTTAACCGCTTAATAATATCATTATACATATTACTGTAATGTACTGCATAGATTACAATGTCATACCGATATGTTAATTTTCTATGGAATAGAAAAACTTGTATTAGAGTTACCCCCTAGGTAGTGTGAAAATGATATGGATAGTAGAAAATAACAAATCTATTCTTAAATCTATTCTTTTTTAAGAAGATCTATACAAGAAAGGAGAAAGAGAGAGAGAGAGAATAATAATATTCTTTGCAAAATAAATTTTTATTTTAAATTTGAATTTCTTAAAATTTACTTCGAATAGTTTTTCTTTCTTAAATACTATTAAAATTATTTCTATTGAAATAATTATATCAAAATAAGAATTATTGTTTTTGCAAAAAAATTTTAATAAATTAAATTTAAAAGAAAACAAAGCGCAAATGGCAGAAAAGAAATTTGAAATGTTTTCGAATGAATCAAAATAATTGTGCTGAAAATTTATTGAAATAAATAAATAAAACAAATAAATAAGAATTAATAAAAACAAATGAAATAAATAACAAATAATTAACAATTCAAAAAAATAAATAAATATCAAAAGGACGAATAACTTAAATTGAAGTATTCAAATATAAAATATATTAATTTAAAAGAAATTAAAATTTGTAAATGGCGCAGCATAGAATTGAATTTTCATTGTATGGCGTTTAAGAAAATGGAATTGATAAGTTGTAAGGTAAGAATTTGAATAAGATATACGTTATTTTCTGCCTGTTGTAACTATTTATTCCCTGCCACTACTTTCTACCTGTAACAAAGTTAAACGAAATCTCGGTGTAATCCCGTTAAATCCCCGTGTGAAGCGGTTAATTCTGTGGTAAATCAAGAGCGGAATATAGATAATGCTATAACATATCGTTTAAAACAAAATATTTATATAATTGTAATTAAAATTTTTATATACTTTAGGGGTAAGCAATATTTTCAGCTCAAAAAAAAGTTCGATTACAATTTTTTCTCTTTTTTTGCGCAATTGACATTTGACCCTAATGATTTCAATTATTCCATCACTTCATTAATCGTACTTGTAACTAACAATACGGTGTTTTTAGCTGAAGTGTTAAAATCTGGTGAATTTTCCTCATCAATGATTGACAGATTTGTTGTCTAAAGAATGATTGAATGCCTAACTTTACTCCACAGGATTATACCTTCATCAGCAGATCCTGTATTTGTCTTTTTCCCATCCAAGATACTACCGTAATCTTCTTAATTTTTTTCCAGTAAACAATATACTTTTTTTAATGGATAGATAGATTGTATAATTTAATTAACTATTTCATTTCATAATAAGAAAATAATAAAATTCGTTTTTGACTGATTGCAAAAATTTAATATTTTGCATATTAAATCGGAATATAAAAGTAATAGCTAAATTACCAAAATTTCAAAATTATATATGAATAAAGTATATTTATATAACAATTAATTTTTCTAACAAATTGCATTGTTTTAAATTTTACAGAATGAGAAAAGCAAATTTTAAATGAGATAAAAATAGAAGCAAAATTAAATTCGTATTCGAACGATAAAATTTCGATAAAATAATTCGAAAATTCGAACGATAAAATAATAATAATTAAGAGATGATAAATTTTTTGCATTAATATAACCGTTTTGTTTTCATTCAGTTAATTTTTTATCAAAATTTTGTAATTAATTTGATAAAATGAAGACAAATGTTTTTCAACCAATGGAATTGATTGATCAGAGATTTCGAAAATTTTCAATTCATAGAACTGTCAATTACGATTGCACTTAATTCTTTAATTTAAAATATAAATTTTTTAGATTAATATGAATAGATATAATTTAGTTGCATAGCATATAATGTTTCAAGCGTTAATTTCATTATCAGAAATAAGCTAAAATTCATCAATGATGCCAAGTGTAAATTACAGTTGCAATTTTCAAAGAAATTATTTTTAGAAAATACATTTTTGCGCGCTTTGTAAACAAAACATGCAAATTAGTCTTGAAGAAATATTTTATCATATTTGTTTTGTACATAACATTGCTTGCTTTTCCATCAATTACATTATTTGCATTAAGGGACAGATACAAAGTTTGTTGAATAAATCGGTGAGGTTGCACCTTTTCTTCAATATCTTTCCTTCGACCTTTAACCTTTTTCTTTTTCTGTGTTTTTGCTATATCCGTATAACAACTTATTGTTACAGCTAAAATTTCCCTCTGGTTGATTTTCAGTATCCACTGAAAACATCCAAAAACATCTGTTAGTATATTTAATCACTTAGATATAATAACAGATGAATGAAATATGATAATGAATCTTTTGGTTATCATAACTAATCACTTAAACATGATAACAGACGGTAATGAGTAATCCTTGAACATATAAATTTATCACCTATTTGATAACAACTTCAAGAAAAATCAGTTAAATTTCAAAAAACTATACCCTATTTTTTCAACTTAAAATTTTAATACAATTTATTATATCATATAGCAATTGTATTTAATTATTGAAATTATCAGTACATATCTTTCTAAATACTGATAATTTAGAAAGATATGCACTAATGATTGAATTTAGCTTAAATAATTTTAAATGATTTAATTAATAAAAAAAAATTAAATGAGTAATTTAATTAATTGTTATTTGTTATCTTTTTTTTCAATGCTAAAATGAAATGGTAGAACCATTGGATACTGTGAACAATTGACCTGAATAAGTGCAAATTGAGTGGATATTGAATAACAGTAACATCAACAACTAATCGCTATGCAATAACTGGTTATCATTGCGCAATTTCTTCAATTCATCGTCACAGTAGGCAAATGAGCGTAAATCAGCATCGTTTAAAATTAAGAAATTGAAATCAAACTCTTCCGTAGTTGCAAAGATATTAATTTAAATATGTATGTATATATGTATACTTGCGATATATATAGATAGAGAAAGAAAGCAATAATTATACTTGCGATATATATAGATAGAGATAAAAAGAGATGCAAAAAAAGCAATAATTAATAAAATTAATATATTTTAATATGCAAACAGTAAGAGTGAAGTTTAATTTTTATAATTTCAAATTTCAACGTATCATTTTCTTCGGTATAATAAAAGAATGATGATATCATGGTTTTTTTACAAAAGATTCTTTTGCTTTATGAATTCATTTCGGAATTTATTTTGTTTCGTATTGTGATAGGAAAATATTTAAATATACAAAAAAGAATGCCGAAAATTGCATTTTAGGCAATTATTCGGCATCATATTACAATTTAAAATGATATATGATTTGATGTTATTTGAATAAAAATTCAATCAAAACTTTAAATTGAAATAAAAAGGTAATGATTTATTTAAATTACCAATATGTTAATCTTTTAGATATGCGACCAATTTTATTGGTTTATTCGAATAAATATCATTGTGATCAAATTTCAATGAAAAATTATCAGAGAAAATTTTCTTAAACAAATTTATAAAAATTCTTACGTAAAAATTTTAAGGTAATTTTTTTAAAGAAAAAAATGTTATTTCTATTTTATATTTTATATTCAAATTTTATCATAATGAAATTTATTTGAATATTTTTCGTAGGAAAAAGAATTTTGTGTTAAAACTGGTATCATAAACTAGAAATTGTAATAATTATATTTATTATTACTATTATTATTATTATTATTATGATGATGATGATAAGGAAAGGGTGTGTAAAGATTGCTGGCTGCTTGGAATGTAAATTACAACTTTACCACTATACCGGGGTTGAGAAGTTGATATGAGAGCGAAGTCGCGTGTCGTTTTTATTGCATATGGTGGTGATATGTTGAGAGACAGGTTGTATTATTATCATTAATATAATCATTGATATTATTATCATTACTACACATCATTCATGTATCATTCCAAATATTATCATCACCGATCAGTGATCTTTCAGTAGTCATGAAAGCTGTAATCTGCTGTATACACAAATGTCAACTTCGATCATCATCACAATAACAAATCATACTGACTACTTGTCATTATTTTATACTCCTCTTCAATTTTATCCTCAATTGTTTTGTTAGCATAAGAATTAACTTGATTGAATTCAATAATTGCATCAATTAAACCCCTCAATAAAAAAATATCCACGAAATTATAAAATTTCATTACTAATGTTATTAACATTGTTCATTCAGTTAATCGTCCATTGTTCAAACGTCATCTGGCATAAGTTCATTGTATTGGTCATTCTTCAAAGTGGACCTTATCCTTATTGATCTTATTTGACAAAGAAACTATTGCAATTGTTTTTCTTACATGGATCCAAAAATTTCTCAGCTGTGGTAAGCATTTGAATTAATTTTTGCATTTTATAATTTTGATTTAATATTTAATTTCATCGAATAATATTGAAAATTTTCAATTTGCATACATTTTTATAAGTTAGCAAATTTTTTCATTTTTTTTATAAAATCAATTTTTATACAAAAATAATAAATAACAATAGAAATTGCAAAGTAATTATTATTTCTTATAATTAATAAATATTACCTTTAGAATAGGTAAACAGCCAATTTATATAAACAACGGTAAATTATAAATTATAGAAACTTAATGTATTAATAAACTATAAACTAGTAAGGTAAAGAAAATAAGAAATTGGATAATTTAAAAATTGAAATTAAAATTTTGCTCCTTTAACGTTTTTTTTTGCATTCTATAAAATGTGTTAAAGAAACTTTTATACTTTAATAAAATTTTATTATAGCAATTTGAAAGTTAAAAATTTGTGAAGGCGAAAAATGATATTTGGATTCTCATATTCTCCTTTTCATCATAACACCAAACAGCAACGGTAAGCTCTTCAATTTTTGTCACTTTATTTACTGATTTAAAAAACTGAAGAAAATCAGAATAATTTATAGGATATGAAAAATTCATAAGTCTTTGGAATTAAACAAAAATTGCAAGAGAAATAGAGTGTAAGTAAAATTGTACTGTAAATATGATGAAGAAAGAAAGTTAAAAAAAAGCTAATAAAAAATTTTAACAATTTAAAATGTTTATTAGTATCAATGGTGGTATGAAAGCTATTCCGAACTTTCAGTTATTCAAACTGTTTCAAAGATTCATGAATTCTAACAATTTAACTAAACCAACAAAATTTAAAACGTTTATTAGTAACAGTGGTGGTATAAAAGCTATTCCGAACTTTCATTCTGTTAACTGTTTGAATTTCAATTCTACCAATAACAGTTTTTAATCTGCAATTTATTCCATCATCTTTTAATTATATTAGCTAAAAATAAAACAAATTAATAGATTGCGCATTAAAAAAAAAAGATTATCAAATTCAGTTGAATGATAAATTATCATTCAACTGATAATTTCATTTCCGTTTCATTTCCTTCTCTCATCATTTTCCTGTCTTTGTAAAAAGTTTCCTGTTGACAACTTGAAAAACTATAAATTTATTTAATTTATATTTATTAGCTCCACCTTATTTCAATTTATTATCAAAATGCTCTCTCTGTCTCTCTCTCTCTCTCTCTCTCATAAATTGAACGGTTGAACAATTCATTGGTTGTTCAATTGGATTACGATAGCTGTAAGATAGGAAAAAGGCGTGGCAAAAATAAAAAATGTTGGAAATATTCTCTTTCTCATCCAGAACATATCTATAATTGCTACTTCCTAAGTTAAAAGAGAATTATGTGATGGTGGAGTAAACTGCGCCCCGCCGTGCTTCTAATCGTTTTCGTGATCCTAAGGTGGTCTTACTACGTGTTGAAACTATTCTTTTCCTTGAGCAACAAAATCACGAACTCGTTGCTATCCCCTGTTTGATGCTCACTCCGGGATATCAACATCCGCAACAGCATCATCAACCGGTCACCAATTGCGCACCCGGCATTCCTTCCCCATCTTCAACCGTTTTACCATCATTTAACATTACAAGCCACCTACCGACCGGGTATGAATTTATTCACATTTCTTACCTTAACTTTATATAATTATTATAGTTAATCAATCTCTAACGATTTATATTTTAGTTTGATTTAAATATTTTTTTTAATTAAAAATTTTGTATTAAATATTTTTGGCAATTTTTTCTTTTTGAATTAAAATTTATTATTAAAATGTCTTAAGCCATTTTTTAAAAAAAGTCTTGTTATAAGAAATAGTGGAAAAAGAAGAGAAATAGGAAAGAAGGAAAAAGTTTATCACTTAAATATGATACCGTAATCAGCAAAAATTTCCATCTCAGAGTTGCTTCATTCAAATGTCAGCTATTTTTCCATCCAGCCGTCTTCTTGAGAAAAAACGATCTTAGTCAATTTATCAAACTAACCTATTAACCTCTTAGTTTTCTTTTCGAATTAGCGTTTCATTTATATTTTTCATTTTTTATATTTTCTAATCTAAAATTTAACTTAGAGATTTTAATAAATTTTCAGAAAATTATTGCTTGAAATTTTATTTTAACTTTTTTGAATAGTCAAAAATTATTTAAAAAAAAATTATTTAAAAAATTAAATTATTTAAAAGTCTTTTTGGAAATAAAAGGAAAATAAAAGGGTTCATTTCATTCCAAAATTATAAAACAATGCAATTGTTTTACGTACATATGACTCAATATAAAGTATCTTCGAACAGATAAATAAAATCATGAAAAACTAAATTTTAATGACCTTCAATTGAAAGTAAAATTTTTACACAAAATTATTAGAGTTGGATAGTGTGACTATTCCGGTGATAGCTATCTTTCACATAATCATAAAGTCACAAGTAAATCCGGAATAAGATGGAATAGAATAGCATTTCTATATAATACTGAGATTATTGCAGTAAATTCTCTTTCTCTACTGTAAATTACTGTAGCACAAGTTAAAGCTATGTAAATAAAGCTATGTAAAAAATTTCGATTTTAATATTTGATATATTCCATGTTTTTCGCGCTCATTTTTAGACCCACTCAACTTTCAAATATTCCGGAAAAGGAAGCTGGGAATACAATCATTCCTGGAAATGGTTACAATCCGGGAAGTTATTATCAATCTATGGTACCACCACAATCCGCCTTTGGACAGCAGTTATTCATCAAGAATGGTATTTCTTACTTTTAAAACCTAACAATATTTAGAAGTTTTGAATTGTGCATATAATAAATTTGAAATTCGATAGATTAATTGCTGATGTTCAGTTTATAATTTACGTCCTGTTTCAGAAAATGGTTATGGATCACGCGGAGCTGCTGCATTCGGGTCAGATATGCATTTTGTTCCCGAGACACCACTCATGCAAAATTCATATCTATTTAGTTCTGCATCAACATCAACTTCAGCTGATTATTCTTATGATCTTATTAAGCCGGATCCTGAAACATTTTTTGGTCATGCATGCTCATCACATCCGTTTGTTAGGCCTCATTATCCCCACTTTCCGTTTGCCATGCAACCGATGACATCCAATGTCACGACTGGTCCCAACTACCTCCAAAATCCGATTCAATGCCAGTGGATCGAAGTTAGTATTAAAATCAAAAAATTCTTATAAAAGAATTAGTTTCTTTTGTTTTTAGTTAATGATTTAATTATTCTGATAATTCTCTGCATTTCTGTTTCTCATTCTTTGCAGAAGATGAATAAATTAAAACATTGTCTAATTTTGTTGACATATCTCTTTCAGAAATCTAAGTAAAAAATTTACTGATATGATGTCAAAGTAATAAATTTTAACAATTCTTGCAGACTAAAAATTTTAATTCATTTGTGAAACTTTCAAAATTTATTAAAATTCATTTCAATTTATTTGTTAATGATTGCAGCGCAATAGGATATGTGGTCGATTATTTTACTCTATCGAACATATCGTATCCCATCTGCAACATGAACATGTGGGTGTGTCGGATACTGCCTTCCATGTATGTCAATGGAAAGATTGCTCAAGGAGGGGAAAAATTTTTAAAGTAAGATGGAAATCATTTCATAATATCAAATAATGATAAACCTATCAAGTTTATTTTATATCAAAACTTATCGTAGCATTTGATTCGGCAATTCGCAGTATTGCGTAATTAGCAGGATTGATTCGCTTAAAATTTTAAGCAAGCGAGAAGATATTAGTAGACTGAAAGATTTCTGTCACTTGAAATAGAAAAAGAATTCAATTATCAATGAATAAGATCGGAAGGAAGTTTTAATATCTTATTGAGATTACTGATAAATCATCGGTGACACTCTTGAACCGATGAAGGTCAAACAATATGATGGATAAATAAAGGGATTTAAAGAAGAATTATGTAAATTTTGAGAGTAAGGAAAAGTTTCAGTCTTCTGACTCATTTGATAAGAAATATATGAAAATGATTTTTTTACAATAAAATTTACATTTTAGGCAAAATATAAACTTGTGAATCATATTCGGGTACATACGGGTGAAAGGCCATTTCCATGTACAATGTGCTCAAAAGTTTTTGCAAGAAGTGAAAATTTGAAAATTCATCAAAGAACGCATACAGGTAACAATTATCATTAATATTTCTCTACTAATATTATCGTTGCAACATTTTTATCACTAATAATAATATCAATCGTTGATTTCTGGAATTATCACTATCATAGTAATTTTATTCTTAATCATAATTCTCTCACAATATTATTATATAATTATTTTATCGATATTAGTAATTCATTTGGTTACAAAATTGAAATGATTTGGTAATGTTATTAAGTGAGGCCCCACTCGACTTCATAATAATCCACTCAGAAGGTGAAATATACAATAGAGCAGGTGGATCTCCGTTACCTATCCTTTATCCCGATCATCTATTATTGTTTCCTTCCAGTATATAACACATCATCATCATCATCATCATCATCTTATTTTTGTCAAAATCAATTCAAATATCAGATTTATCTAATTCCGGTACGAATTAGAATTTTGCGGCGGAGATATTTTGCAATCATTCAATTCACAATTCACATTTTCCAATAGAAAATTAATAAAAAAAGGAAATTTCTCGTCTTATCAACTAAAGCAAATTAATTTATAAATTGAAGTGAATTTAAGGCATATGTGACAGATTAGCTAAGGGATACTTCCATTAGCAATATATTCCTTCAAATTAATGACAGATAATTCTATTAGCTTTTGTGTTACAATTTATTACAAAGAAAAATAGAAGAAATATTACATTTGGAATAAAAAAAGTTTAAAATGAACTAAAATTTAGAAATGATTTTTTCTTTTCAAATTTTAAAATTATTTAAAATTACATAAAAATGTATATTGCTAATAAATTAATTTTATAATTAAAATTTTTATTTCTATCAAAAAAATTGACAGAATTTTCAAGAACCCTCATATAGTGGTACCATCATCAGTGGTACCATCATAATAGATAGGTAATATAACACCTGCTCATTGCATCAGTTTGGTGATGACTAAATAAACAGAACACTTAAGTGCATCCATAATTGGTAACCCTCGAAACAACCAACAATTATTTATCACATTGTACTATGGTAACATTTTTTTGTTTTGGAAAACTTCGAAGATTATGATTACGAAAAATTTGCTCTGTTTCCGGTTTATTTCCAGTTGGTTACGTATTCTGAATGAAATGAGACGAAGAAATCTGCCGGATTTTGCAATGAATGCTATTTTTATCATATCAATTAATTTTTATCATTAATTTGTTTAAAACAAATTTTTTCAACAATTTTCAACAGTACAAAAGAGACAGCTGAATAAAATCTTACTAATTAATTAATTAATCAAACATCAAAAAAAAGATTACTTTGACCCTTTTGATCAATCAATAATTTAAAATTATTTTTTTTTTTCCTAAATTTATTATAAAAATTTAGAATTGAAAACTTTTTTGTTAATAATAAAAATTTGTATTAATTAATTTTAATATTTTTGAATTATAAAAAATTGCATATTTTTAATCAAAAACTTTTGGAAGAAATAATTTTCTTCTACTATTTCTTTTCAATGTTATAGAAAGTCAAGAATCTGCAAGATATTCAATTGCCACTATTCCTTCACCCATTCATTCATTCATTCATTCACTCATTCATTCATTCATTCATTCATTCACCCATTCATTCATTCATTTGTTTTACAGAACAGTTATTTAAAGGTTCGAAGACGGATAGGCAATCCGGCATCTGGCTTAAGAACTAATCTATTCATTCAGATGACTAATAAATCCTCAATTGTCATATTTTATTTTTATGCTATATAAAACATCATGGATTATTATTAAATAATAGGCTAACCTTTGTCTATCTTTTAAGAAATCATACATAAATTTAACTAAAAATATTTTTGTTCCAATTTTATAAAGATTTTAAATTAATTAATAATAATAATACTATTTTGGCTTATTAGGTGATAAGCCGTTTACTTGTACACATCCTGGTTGCGATCGTAAATTCGCTAATAGTAGCGATCGAAAGAAACACATGCACGTTCACACCAATGATAAACCATACGAATGCAAAATTAATGGATGTCGCAAATCTTACACACATCCATCCTCACTTCGAAAACATTTAAAGGTTTATTTTCTATCTTTCTTTTTTTAACTTTTTTAAAAAATATTTCTTTAATTTTGATTTAACAATTAATTGCGTAAAATTAAGAACATCAATTATTATTGAAGTTTTCATTTATTTCTAACTTCTTTATTTTTAAAATATCTTAATTATTTTTACTCTTCAAACTTCATTCTTCGCCCTGTTTATAAAATTTCTTTTCCACTAAAGAATATTGACTTAAATTTAATAATTTATTTTATCAAATTTTAAAATTAGTTTTATTTAAATTTAGTTTAGAAGTTAAAAATAAGCGTAATATTTTCATTATCATTTTATATTGTCTTATTCTAATTTCTTAATACTTTTAATACACGAGAATTCTCTTAGCTTATTTATATACCTTTCTTCTTTCCTCACTTTTCAACATTCCAATAATTTAAAATAAAAGATTTACTCATTTAACAAAAAGAAAATCCAGTAAATTGTCAATAAGTTGAATTGCTTGCAAGGAATAGTTCATTAATTAATTTGTCAAATGAAAACATTCTTCTTCTTTGTTTATTATCAAATGACCTTTGATCTGTTTTTGCTACATAATTTTCTAAAAGTTCTATTTATTTATATGTTGTAAATGTGATCAAAGCGGTTAAGGCGTTAAAAGCTTAATAGATGATGAACAGATTGTTATAGCTTTTAAACCAATAAATCGGTTTTGCCTTTATTGATTTCTCAGTAATTACTTCCGTTCACCAATGAATTTAACCTTCTCTTAGATTTATCAAACTTAGTTGGGTGCTATTTGAAATTTTCAAATGTAGGAATTGTAAAAAAAATTAACAGTTTTAAATTTCAAAAATATACTCAAAGAAGACCCGAATATCTTTTACTAAAAATTATAGTTAAAACTTTTTATAAATTTAGCAAAAATTTTTTTATAAATTCAAATTTTATTAATTAAAATTATAATCTTAAAAGTTCTATAATTTCAGCAAATACTTCCTAATTTAATTTATTTCAATTGAAGTTTAATTTTTTCCTCAATTCGATTAGTAATTTATTTTATTTGTACTAAATCCAAAATTTTCTCATTATTCTACAAAAATTAAGGATGCAGCAAATTTGCGTACGCATGTAGTTAATCTGATAATTATCCTATTTAAGGTCACCAATAGTAGCTGAACAAGAATAGTTATCTTCATTCTTGTTTCTCAATTAATTATTCCATCCAATCCATTCAGTTCTATCTTATCTCTTATGGAATTAGGAAAAGCAAATTTGTTCCGGTTCAGATTACACGTAAATGATTGAATCATTATGATCGATATCTGTTAGGAATGACAATTTGAGGACATATTGCAAATAGGCGCTTATTTCAAATTTAATACCATAATGAAGACATAATATAATTTTTATCTTTATCTTTGTATAATATATATATAATATATAATTTTTATGTTTAATTTCATTTATTATTATAAAATTAATATAACAACTAAATATTCATTTTTATTTAACCGAAGGGATTTAAATTTTAGGTAAGAATTATTAAGTCTTTAAGCTTTTAATTAATAATTGATTTAAATTTTTAATCTTTAATTACATTAATACAACGATATTTTTCATTTCTTATTTTTAATTATTGACAATGTTTCTTGATAAGGAAACAAATTTGAAAATATGCATATTATCTTTATCTATTGTTGTTATTTATTTAATTTGAAATAATTCGAAATTTTAGGAATAAATATTCCTTTTTAATTTCTTCCATTCATATTGATTGAACCAATTTTAAAAATGAAATCACAGAAATTTCAAAAAAAAAGGAAAATATTTCAAACAGCTATGTCATGCCATCTGCGTTGTGAAGAATACGGTAATTGTCGATTTGCCCTATACACAGCAATGGTTTCACATTTCAAAGAGTTAAGAAATGATCTCTTTAACAAAATTAATTTTTCTATTTTCACAATCATTTCATGCCAACTAAAAGATTTTTTTTTTTGAATGAGAGAATTATATTATTATATCATTAAATTAAAATAATAATTAAACTTTTACAAAAACAATAGTTATTTAGTTTTGCAAAAAAAAAAAAATTATTAAATCTAAAAACTTAATAAAATTAGATTAAAAGATTAATAATAAATTAAGCATTAATAAATATTTCGGATATCAAATATTAATTTCAACATTTCTGATACTACACATTTCTTTAGATACATTGCAAAAGTGGACAGTGTATATCACCAGATGTGGAAGAAAATGATAATAATGGACAAACAAGTGCTAATAATACTGCTAATACATCTGTAACAACAGTCACTGCTGCTCCATCATTGTCTTCAGAACAATCATTTCAATTAGCACCAGAATCTCACTGTTCATTTTTCTTGAATCCGATGAATCAACAACGATTCCCTAGGTTTTCATCCAATAATCCAGTATGTTTTTTTTTTACATTCAATAAAGTTGGAAATTATGATCTCTTCAAGATAAAGCTCAATGATAAAGATTAAAATCAAATATTTCATTGATTAATTTAGGCGGCATAATTAATTAATCTTTTGCTTCCAAATTTTGCATCCATTTTTACTAATCTTTCCTCTTATTATATTCAGTAACTTAAGAAATGATTTTCATCAATTTCATTTCTCAATTTCTTAGACACAAAATAGTTGGCACAAAAAATTAATAAGTAATAGCCTTTTTTTTCCTTAATTAATTTGTCAAAAACTACCTAGCAAATTTGCTATTCATAAATTTTACAATTAAATGTTCAAAAATAATGATTTAAATTAAGATTACTCAGCAAAAGAAATTTAACAAATTAACGATTAAATTGTTTTAATGATTAAAAATGAAATCAGAATTAAGCAGTTAACTATTAAAAATATTTGATGTGTCAACAACAATTATCTTCTATTAAAAAAGGAGCTTTCCTAAAATTTGCATTATTTTCTTCTAGACAATGCATGGTAGCTTTGTTACACCTAATCCATATCAAACAACTTCAAATACGATGATGTCGACAAATGGAAGCTTTCAGCTACCTGATTTTAATGTTTATACACATTTTCCACCAAAAATGTCCATACAATAAATTTGTAATTTAAATAATTTTTTTCCACCAAATTATTGATTTTTCATTATTTATTGATTGACCTTTGTCACTACTGTTTGTACAAACTTTCCTTCTACAACATTTCTTCATCATAGAAATTTCATGATAATGATGACCTTTCAAATAGACTCGAATAGATTAAGATTTATTCATTCTAATATTTCGAAATGATTGTAAGAAATGTGAAGGAATATTTGATCCAAATATTTTCCAATCCAAAAATTCATTTATTTTCATGCGAACAAGGAAGGTTGGTAATAAATTTTTGGATTCATTTTTTTCTTAATCAAATTTAGCCAGACAATATTATTCAAATCATTTGTTCTTATCATATCACTGATATTTTTTGATAACTTTATGGTTGGATTAGTTTGTATGGTAAATTGATGATTTTTCTTGCTAAAAATAAGTCAGAAAAAGATTCAGTAGAAATAATTCTAACAAAATATATTATTCGACAATTTTACAAATAGAACTTTTGTTTTATTAATTAATGTTTTCGTGATAATGATTGTTTTAATGATATGCCTATCACAACTTGCAAGTTTATTGTATAATTTCTTCATTTAAATTAATTTAATTAGGAATGGATTCTTTTGATAAAATGTAAATTTTTAGATATAATTTATTTCTATCTATGCTTCATATATGTATAAAAAATGAAAATAAATTTATTTATTTGCATTCTTAATTAATTAATCTTCTTTGATATTTTCCTCCTAAAATTAATCATTCCAATGCAAAAATAAAACCAAAATATTATTTTCCAATTCTAAAATTATTATCAAATTAATCAAATTCTATGCGACAAATTGATAATAAAGATTTTATCATATAAATCAATGATTTGCTGTACACAAAATGTTGCATAACTGTTACGTTATGTTTGAATAATATTTTGGTTTATTTGTTTGTCAATTATATATTTGTCGGAAAATATCAACATACACAGAAAAAAATTGCATACCGAAGCTAATTGTTTTCTTTTTGATTTTTCATTTTTAATAAACAAATATGTAGAAATTATATAAACTTAAAGCGGTATATTTTTTTTGATGATCTATTTTCGGATCATCTGAATGGCGTAATCTGCCACTACTACAACGTATGTTGTTGCATAGGTAAGCAAGATGAACATCAATAGCTAAACATTGTACTAATTAATCCGCTCTAGCGGTATGCTTCTTTTGATGATTGATTATAATTATGCCTGAAGGACAAATATTACTGCCACTAAATGTCCTCAAAATGACACGAGTAGTATCACAAATCAATATCATTGATTTCTTTTTTTTTCATATTAATAATAAATAAAAAATTCATTTGTACTTTCCGATCCGATGAAATTTCATTTACAATGAAAGAATTATTTTCTATCGCAACATTCTTTGTTACAACAACGTTGAAATTTGTTGAAATAAAAGTTGAAAAAATTAAATAAATTCAAATTCTACGAAATCATTTCAATTATTAAATTATTTACAAAATTCAAATAGTTTTATTTTCAAAAAAAAAATTATTTGCAGTTGAAAAGTAAGCATAAATAATAATGAATATGTAGTGAATGATGACACCGTAATGGTATCATTGAAACGAAAATTGTTGCCAAAATGACATATATCTAACAGAGCCTTTTCGTATATCTGATAATAAGTGATAATATCAAGCACTTGCAGCATTGCAAATGCATGTGGTATGCATGCATTTGCAATAAAGTCATGTATAATATATTTATTTATTCCTCCATAAAAGTACGTGGCATTAGTGATACGGTGCATGATACCCTTAAATTGGATAAACTTCACAATGCATTTATGTATGAGTGTGTGTGTGTGTGTATGTGTGTATGTGTGTATCATTAGTAGCAAAGCGGGTGCTAGAAACGATGTCAACATTTTTGTCGGATTTCTATCTCCCAAAATGATTGATGATACGGTGGGAAAGTGTGAATATGACCGCAAATCATGACACTCTTTACTACCAGCGCCATCACTACTATAATATATAATGTGATGATATTATAGTAACATTCCAATTATTACCATTAGGGACTTTTAATCTTCTATTGAAAATATGTAAATTTTATAACCTTACTGTAATTATTATTGCTGAGAAGATTGCATTACTTCAAATTGAATATACTATATATAAATAAATCTATTGACAGATGATCGGTTAGAATTTTAAGGTCAATAATCATTTACATATTAAAAGAGACTTGAACAATTTTAATATGTCCAAGAGAAAAATTAAAACAAATTTTAATTACTTTAGACGAATTCATTCACAATAATTTTGCTTACTCTATAATTCAGTTTGCAATTCATTTTAAATTTACCAAAATTGATTTAAATTTTATAATATTTAGCCTCTCTCATGATGTTCCTATAGTAGCTGTATTAGTTTTATCATTAAGATATTATCATTTATCATTTTATCACCAATAAGACAATTGCATTCAAAAGTTCCATTTTGCAAAATACTTACCAGGTGAAATCAATCTAACTTAGTTCAAATTTAAAATAGAAATTAGTTATTTACAATAAATTTTATTTATTCACATAAAAAATAAATGCAAATCTGTTTATTCCATAACTATTATTATTCGTATAGAAAAGAATGCAATGTAGAAATCAATCAACCATTTAATGGGCCTAAATAGGCCTTCAAACCGGTCGGTATCGTTTATATTTTTGAAACAAATTGAGTTATTTTGTTTGGTAGATGGATGGGAATAGATCGACTACTAATGATATTTTCTAAAATTAGGTAGTAAGGATAGTTAGTGATTGGGAGCGGTGTGTACCTCTTTCTTCAGAAGATTGCTCCAATAGCGCCGAACAAAAGCTCACCTTACCCTTAATCACCTCATTTCTTTCTCCCTCTTTTATTTCCCGGACAAAACCCATCTCGTACCATTTACTCTCATCAATCGCAACTTCTCCAAAACAGATAACAAACTCGTTTCTCTCTTTTCAACGATCGTTTTTCCGTAATGAAGACGATCCATTAAAGAAAACAACAAATTTTACATTTCCACTTTTTCTTTTTTGATTTCACTAAAATAAATTTAATAAAAATTTAAAAGAAATTAAATATATAATTAAAAAAGAATTAGTTTTAAATAAATGATTACTGTAAAGATCGAAGGTAGAAAATGAAAATTATAAATAAACAATTTTATAAAATGTATTTCTTCATTTTTAAATATTCTGTTGAATTTTTTTTTAATTTCAAAAAAGTGTCAACAAATAATTTTGTTCTATATGATACTTCTATGTATAGCAAAATTGAATGACGACTATATTAAATTGTTTGTATGAAATGAATTTTTATTAGCTTTTGCAGTTTTAAGTGTTGCACATTTAAATGTTTGAATTTTGTGAAGCACTTATGACTTGTTCTGAAGATGAAGTGAATTTAAGATTTTCCCGAAATAATTTTAGAATTGAACCGGAGGAAGCTGATGTGTCTAATTGAACCGGAGGAAGTTGATGTATCTAATTGAACCGGAGGAAGTTGATATATCTAATTGAACCGGAGGAAGTTGATATATCTAATTGAACCGGAAGAAGTTGGTGTATGTAATTAAACCGGAGGAAGTTGATGTATGTAATTGAACGGAGGAAGTTGATGTATCTAATTGGACCGGAGGAAAATGGTGTGTCTAATTGAACCGGAGGAAGTTGATATATGTAATTGAACCGGAGGAAGTTGATGTATCTAGTTGAATCGGAGAAAGTTGATGTACCTTCGAAAATAGAGTAAGAAATGGGTTTGATGATTATGGAAGATTTATTTAAAATATTACTTCCTGCAACAAGAAAAAAAGATGCACATCGGCAATAAGAACCACTTGATTTTGATGAATTAAAAATGGACAAAATTAAATTATAGCAACTTTCAGATTAATCTTTTAATTAATTTTAACTAATTAGAATCAAAAATTTCTCTACTAATTTTTTTTGCTAATAAGAATGATTTTTTGAATTTAATTCTCTTCGAAGGAATAAATCGAATTTTATAAAGCATTTGATATTCAATATTCAACATTGAATCACTAATATAATTCACGGATATCAGTTATTCCATTGACCCTTTCAAATCATTAATGACAATTACTGTCATACTGTTATTAATAGTTGTATCTTAGGGTTAAGCTATAACTTGGCTTTATCTCATTAGGTTTTCCAAAATTTTAATCATTTCAAAGCAAACTAAAGCAAAAAGAAAAAGTTACAAAATGACTGTGAAATTTGAAATAAATTTTCTTTGATGAAATGAAACTGCAAGAGCTGATCAGCTGACAGAAGCATAATTCTTCTGTCAGAAGTATAATGTAAGGGATGATCAGCTGACAGAAGGTCATGTGAACATCTAATGATAGATGATAGATTTCATTCTATAAAATTTATTTTCATTAGATTTAATCCATAAAATTCTTATAAGGAATTTTCTATTCTATTAAATGTTAAATATTTCCTTGAAAAATTTTGGAAATTAAAAGGAATGAACTAATTTACAAACAAAGAAAACAGAAACTTTAGTAACTTTTATGATATACACAACGAAATTTTCTTATTATGAAATTTCATCAATACATAAATAAAAGATCATAATAGGTCATAATGATCATCACTCAATCCTTGCACTCTTATCAGTTCAAATTCCATGAAAGATCTTTTGTATACTATGCATCATCACTCTCTCTCTATTTTATATTCACTGTTTCACTTCTCTCTCTCTCTCCCCAACAATTCATTTTATGCAGATGCATTCTTTTTTATAAAAAATTTTTATTTGATATTGCCAATATTAAGATCCACCCGTGATCAAATTCTCTTATATGTAACATATTTGGCAACGATGATTGGTAACTTCAGAGTTTATAAGTACTTATCGCTTTTATCACTTCTGGTATGGCATCGATAGTGGTAATTACTAAATGTTCTTGGTTTTATGGTTCCTGCATGAGTTTA